TATTATTTCTATGCAAACTAAGACTAGTTTTCAACTGACTATTGCTAGCTATTCCCTCGACTAAGTTTAGAAAAATTGATAACTACTCGGCATTTAATAGTCAAATCAAGAGCGCGAGTGCCGAAGAAAGACGGCATGAAGCCAAGCGTTCGCTTTGGTCACAAGAAATACTTTTAAGTAAATAACAGTACTTTGATTTGTCTATTGATAGCGAGTCCTTCGAATTTGTTAGATAAGTTTAGACTGACCAACACTCGGTTGCAGTGAACAAGCAGTGAATGGCCGAAAGTGCTATAGTATGCCGAAAGAAGACAGCACGTAGCAGTGTTCAAATTTGTATAGCCCATAAGAAGCACTTGATATTTCTATACAAAGGAGAACTAGTTTGATTCAAGAATCAGCAGTAATTTCCTCGAAAGTTTTGAAAAATTTTGGCTGCCAGGCATTTTAGTTTATAGACCTTTATTAAGATTGTGCCGGGCTGTCGTGCATACGTCTAGGACATTTTAACTTAATATGAAGGCTCTATTAGCTTTTTTTCTGCTATATTTATCAATTATATTCCTGTAGCCATTCTTCTTCCGCTCAAGGCTCTTCGCCGTATAAACACGCTTGATTTTCGATGTCTGAAGATCATTAAAATCTTTAACATGCTTTAACGCTGTGTTACTTCTTGAAAACTTCGATCGTGTGTTCTTGCTGTGACGTCAGAGCCTTCTGAGGTACCAGACTTCTCGCGCGCCCGGCCAAATCGTTTGGGCGTGTCCGAAAGGCCGACTTTGAAGCGCTATATCTCAAAGAATATTTATCCAATCGAAAAAATATTTTGGATTGTTAACCTACTATATAAAAACAATCAAAATATCCAATAACCCCCGAAGGGTTTATAGGGACTATTTTATTTGAACCTTTATTTTTTGTGTATATATTCTCAATGAACAAAAACAGCAACTTCCAATCAAGTTATACAAATATGTGTATGTTTTTCAATACAATTCTGAAAACATGAAGGACATGTGCAGATCCCTTAGAGAGTCTAGGAAAACAATGTCTGCTCGGTCAGTTTAAGAATCAGTTTTTTTGATTAATTGATTAATTGATTAATTAATTTGATTAATGACCAAACGTATTGACTCAGTCTTTTACATTTCTTCCCCTAACCAGAACTGAGTAGTCGAGCTCTCTTTTTCGGTGCATTTTGTTGTTTTAATAACGGGTTGATAGTAACCGAAATTATCTTCGCCTTTTGTACAGCCAGTGCCATTCAAACCACATCCCCCACAACCATCAATGTGGAAATGGTACTTTCCAGTTATTTGCCAGACAAATGCACTCTGATTAAAAAACTCTTTGCCTCTGATGTTAATGTGAGCAAAGTTAAAACATTCACCATCTACGTCACCATGGTCAATGATGTCATAGTCACGCAGGTAACCAARGAGATAGTCAGGAACCAATGAGGATCTGCGAGGAAAGTCACACGTGACTCGAAACATAGTGGACTTTGATCGAATGTACTTTATGAAGCTCAGACCTTTGCGATGGTCATCCCAGTTTGGATTGTCCCAATTTTTCGCAAATCCGCCCTGATGAAAAGCCTTTGTGCGATAAGTGTCTATTTTGGAAATGGAAAAAGACTCAACGAGGGTCCAGGCCCTGTTTTGAGGTTCAAATGCACAAAACACAAGACGTTTTTTCCAACTGTGAGGATGCAAGTAGTATTTTCCGTTTACTGGTTGACTGCCTTTTGGCTCATGATATCTTATGACGTCAAGGCACGACGTGATCACGTGTTCTTTTTCACACACAATGCCGTGGTATTTAAGAGGACACGTGCAGGAGAACTTCTTTTTTGGACTGATGCAGTGTTCTACGCATGTCCCTCCGTTCCTGCAGGGCTGAGATCGACAGCAACCATTATAGCACACACCTGGTTGTACAATGTCAGATTTCTACAAATCAGAAGATATAAATAAAAATTTGAATATCATCGATACAGAGCTATAACTGGGTAATTCCCCAACTAAAAAGAAGACTTACCCCTTGGTACAGTGTCTGTCTAAGATCAANACTCGAAACATAGTGGACTTTGATCGAATATACTTTATGAAATACAGACCCAGGCGATAGTCATCCCAGTTTGGATTTTCCCAATTTTTCGCAAATCCGCCCTGATGAAAAGCCTTTGTGCGATAAGTGTCTATTTTGGAAATGGAAAAAGACTCAACGAGGGTCCAGGCCGTGTTTTGAGATTCAAATGCACAAAACACAAGACGTTTTTCCCAACCGTGATGATGCAAGTAGTATTTTCCGTTTCCTGGTTGACTGCCTTTTGGGTCATGATATCTTATGACGTCAAGGCACGAGGTGAACACGTGTTCTTTGTCACACACAATGCCGTGGTATTTAAGAGGACACGTGCAGGAGAACTTATTTTTTGGACTGATGCAGTGTTCTACGCATGTCCCTCCGTTCCTGCAGGGCTGAGATCGACAGCAACCATTATAGCACACACCTGGTTGTACAACGTCAGATTTCTACAAATCAGAAGATATAAATAAAAATTTGAATATCATCGATACAGAGCTATAACTGGGTAATTCCCCAACTAAAAAGAAGACTTACCCCTTGGTACAGTGTCTGTCTAAGATCAAAGTACACGTATCCTGACTCAGCTGTAAAATTGTCAGCCTTGGAAGTCTTGTCCTCATCCAGCAACTCACATCTTGCATCTTTCATCTGACACGCCTTACAACGACAATCTTGGACGCAATGACGGTAGCACTTGACTTGATCATCAGTGGTGATGTTGCTGTAGGAGTATCCTTTGAGATGTTTTCCATGGAAGATGTCTTGGGCCTCTGGGAAAAGTGGTCCAGAATAACAGGTGCCAATGCAGTGAGATTGACTTCCAACGAAAACAATTTGAAAGCTTGCTATTATAGGAACGGCATATTGGACCTTCATGATTCTTGAACGTTTTGGAAGCGACACTTTGGCAAAATAGAATTTGTGTAATCGTGATTCTTCAGGTTTAATGTACGTTCGTGATGATTGCGTTAAAACTCCACTAATGGCGAAGATGTTATGACACCTCTAAACGGCTGAAGGGCATGCGCGTTAACTTCTCATGAAATATTCAGAATTAATGCAATTTTCCTTGTATATTGTCCAAGGATTTTTCAAATTCGTAAAGCAGTCCTCGAATGCAGGAGAAGTTGCTAGTGATCGCTGAAAAGAAGAAATACCTAGACTTTGTTACTTGGTTTTATTTGATCCTTTTTTTCCCATATTTTACATGCATGACGCGAATGTGAAAAGATGTCAAAAGAAATGACATTTTGACAAGAGATGAACTTGATACAACTTTTCAGTGACAAATTAAATTTGATAGCAAACTGTTTAGTCGTGTGCATGGATATCTGAATATTTAAGTTAAAAGTAAAGTAGGAGTGTTTTTCTTTTGTTAAATATGATATGAATTTTTTATCGCTTAAATAAAGAGTATTATTATTATTATTATCACTAAAGTCTGATAAAGATCACATATACTGGCTATATTGGTATTACAACACCCAAATTTTACAATGTTATTATAATATATAGCTATAAGTGAAATGGAGCAATTACATTGTGACTGTTTTGACTCTAAATTCACCATTATCAAGACTTAGCAGGCGTTTTTTACTAGGTAAAAGTCCTGCGGCGAAATTAGGAATTCTGCCAAAGTTTCTACACTCAGCCAGAGCCATTTAAAGAGGGTCTCAATGCCGGGGTCAATCGTGAGCCGTGAAACGGCTGAAAAATTAGTCGTGAGTCGTGAAATGGAGAAAAAATTAGCCGTGAGCCGTGAATATTTTTTTAAAGCGTGAGCCGTGATTCAGTTTTGTTCCTCAGAATGACAATCAACTCCAGGCGCGCGCTTGTAATTTTTTTTTTTCTATTTTTATTTATTTATTTTGTTTTTTAATTTACAAAATAAAAGCTCTAGTGGAGATTTTTTTTTTAATTTTGCCTTGTAAGAATTTTTTTCCGGCCGTGCAGGATTTTTTTGCCAATATCTTCCACTCCCCCACCCCTTCAAAATTCTAATGGTTCGCTCCTACCAACAAGTCAGTAATTACAATGTCCTGGAGACAAGCCAGGGCATGGACAAAATTTGGCATTTGAGAATGATGATAAAAAAAATGTAATTGCTGAGTGTCTATAACGTACAAGGGGACACTGTGCTCCAACGCTTACCATCACTAGCACAAAACAAATTGCATGAAAAAGTAATGAAAAACGTTGTTTTCATTTCAAAAATTTTTGAAATTAATCTAGTTAACCGTGATTCGAAAAAATTAGTCGTGTGTCGTGAAATAGCCAAATTTTTAGCCGTGAGTCGTGATGCGTACTACCCAATTGRGACCCTCTTTAAACGACATGGAGCCGCTAAGCAATTAATGTTTCTTGGAAGTATATTCACGTGTCCAGCGTCTTTTTTCGCACTCTTCTAATTCTCGTTGTTGGGTTTGCATTCTCAGTGTCGTACTTTGCTAAGCGGTTTAGTATTTTTTATTTGAACCTCTGCTTTTGTGTCAGTGATATTCTCAATGAACAGATCTAGCAACTTCTAGTAAAGTTCTAAGAAGATGTCTACACCTACTTGCAGAAACGTTGTCATAGAAAATAGAACATTCGAATTTAGTAAAAAGGAATAAATTAAAACAAAACAAAAGAAAGCGTTCAGCCTCAGTAATCTTCTTTTGTCTTTTCAATTTATTCCTTTTTACTAAAATACAAATGTCCGATTTTTTATGATAACGTTTTCGCAAGCAGGTGTATGTCTTTACAATGCAATTCGGACAACAAGGACATGTGCAGATGCTCTAGAGAGGCTAAGAAAACAATGTCTGTTCACTGTGTATCAGAATCAGTTGGTTCGATTCCAGTTTCTGAGTGGCAAAACGTATTCAGTGCTCAGTCTTTTAAATTCCTTCCCCTAACCAGAACTGAGTAGTCGAGCTCTCTTTTTCGGTGCATTTTGTTGTATTGATATGGGGATCGTAGTAACCAAAATTATCTTCGCCTACCGTGCATCCAATAGTCAAACCACACCTTACCGATCCTACACAGTCAATATGAAAATGCCAAGTTCCCTTCTTTTGCCACACATCTGCTCTCTGGTTAAAAAAGTCTTTGCCTCTGATGTTAATGCGAGCAAATTTAAAACATTTTCCTCCAACATCACCAAAGTGAATGATGTCATAGTCACGCAGGTAACCAAGGAGATAGTCAGGAACCAATGAGGATCTGAGAGGAAAGTCACACGTGACTCGAAACATAGTGGACTTTGATCGAATGTACTGTATGAAGCCCAGACCATGGCGATGGTCATCCCAGTTTGGATCGTTAGCTTTTCGCGAACTAACATTTTGATGAAAAGCCATTGCACGATAGATGTTGATGTTGGACATGGAAAAAGATTCTACTAGGTTCCAGGCCCTGTTTGGAGGCTTAAAGTCGCAGTATACTAGGCGCTTTTGATAGTCTGGTGGAAGACTCTTAGCTGTTATAATGTATTTGTCATTGGTTGGATAGTCCCCTGTTTTGTTGTATGTATATTTCATGACGTCAAGGCACGAGGCGAACTCTCTTTTGTCACACACAACGCCGTTGTAGTTCAGCGCACACTTGCACGAGAATTTCTTTTTGGGATTGCTACAGTGCTCTTCGCATGTCCCTCCGTTCATACAAGGCTGAGATCGACAGCAGCCATTATAGCAAACACCTGGTGGTACCATGTGGGATTTCTATAGCGAAAAAAATTACATGAACAAATTGGAGGACTAATTGCTGTGCTAGGAGTACCATGGTAAAACAGCGCACGTATACATGGTTTACATCGTTGCACTGCACAAGATAAGATGGGTCCAGGGGTTGAGGGGAGAGCCAGGGGGGTGTTTGATGAGGGTGGCTAGTCACCCCCTGTCTTTGGGCTTCCAAAACATAAAAATATAAATTATGATAAATTGGGGAAAAAAGGAGAAAAAAATACATCTAGATGTAGACTTTCACTAGCTCCCTTTTAGTCCCCTGATTCCGCGCTCGCTTCATTTTTTAAATTTTTTGATCGATTCTCGAAATTTATTTTCGTGAGTCCAAGGAGACTTGTGGCAGGACTAATCTAAATGAGACTCGTTCTGAAAAATACTAAAGCAGCGTGAACTCGTCTGAAATAAATATTTTCTTCTCGCATACCCAAATCCATCGCTTTGATTTTCTTTTTCTTTTTGAGTTAGCTATGATCACTATATATAATGTCGATCCTGGATAGGATCCGCCAATTCAACATCATGGAGGGAAACTTAGGCCCTGTTCACACGGAGCCGTTTCCGTTCGGAACCGTTCTAGTTTAAGCACGCGTTCACACTGGAACTCTGGAACTGGCCTCATCTGAGTCTGGCAAAGTGGTCATGTTTGGGGTCGGCTAAAACGCCGATCCACTTTGAGGACGGGTCACTTCGAAGCATGGACAGATCCGTGTGAACACTGTTTCAATCCGTACCGAAATGTGGACGGTTTCGTGTGAACACTGGGAACTGTCCTAAAACCGAGGTGTTGACCGGTGTTAACGTAGTCTTAATTGATAGCGACTGTCAAGTTATGCGAAAAATCGCGACCGAAACAACAATGGCACTTCCTAGCCGCTTTTTAATTCAAGAGACCTTATGGCGCAGTATGGCAAAAGAAAGCTCAAATATCGTTACACTATACTATTAAAAAAGACATGTCAGTTTTTGTCCTACTAAAAGGATCAGGGCGACTTACCCCTTTATACATGGTCTGTTTAAGATCAAAGTACAYGTATCCTGATGCATCTTTGAAATCGTCAGCTTTGGAAGTCTTGTCCTCATCTAGCAACTCGCATCTCGCATCTTTCATCTGACACGCCTTACAGCGACAATCCTGGACGCAATTACGGTAGCACTTGATTGGATCATCAGTGGTGATGTTCTTGTAGGAGTGTCCTTTGAGATGTTTTCCATGAAAGATGTCTTCGTTCTCTGGGAAAAGTGGTCCAGAATAACAGGTGCCAACGCAGGGAGATTTACCGACGGCGAAAATGACGTGCAAGGTCATTACAACAAATTGAACGACGCGRAAGTGGAAATTCATTTTTTTTTTCTGCATAGAAAATCCGATTTAAGTTGATCAAAACTGCGAAAGTGGAATCTTKGCGAAAAAAWGCATTCCAAAGTCCATGGTGGTTAGTTTAAATATATTTATTTTACATAAATAGCACACCATAAGAAGTCGATTTATTGAAAACATTAATATTTTAAAACTCAATGTTTAGAAAGCGAACTGTCAGTAGAAAAACCTAGAAAACTTTGCATAGGATTTGGTATGATACCAAATGCTTTTTAACCTGTGAGCTGTGCTATACTAATTTTAGCATATGCAATTCTTTACGGAAACAAACCATTCAGTTGCTTTCTCGGTCTTTTTTTATCTATCTTTTTATTTTTTATGTGTACGTGCGTGCGTGCGCCTTCTTTCTATTTTTACTTCTTAGGTCAATATTGTTGAAAAAGCGAACCACGAGCTTTGCGACGTCTTAGTATCAATTGAAAGGACGAGTGATGATAATTTAATATTTTATGAAAATGCAGACAATGGAAATATTATATATTTGCCTCGATGTTTATGGCTTTATTTTAGAAATTTTTCATTCACTGGGAAATAATATTTTTCATGTTTAAAGTTTAGTGCTTTGTATAAGTGTTTCTACTGTTCCTCAATTAATTAAATTAAAACGATGAACCGTCGAAGTTTCTAAGTTATGCCACCATCATGTTTCGTTAATGAACTGGCGGCATGTACTGACAAAGCAACCAAGTACTGGCTTTAAAATATATACTGGTTAGTAAGATATAGAGGATATTACATGGGCGCTGGGAGATATGGATTGTATAGATTTTCCACACGAGAAGATAAACTTCGTATCTCCAAGCGACAATGTAATAATTATTCTATTTATCATATAATTGCATTATATGAAATCAAATTATGTCGTAAAATACCTTTTTTCTTACTTCCACTATATAGAGAAACCTCGAATGTGTCATTTTCACTAGTGAAAATATCAACTTTAAATTGGAGAAATATAAGTATATCATAGATAATTATATGATAAAAATCAATACTTTTGATTACACTTGAAGAAAGAGTTTTAATTAATATTTATTATTTTGTCACATCAAATCTTTATCTGTTACGAATGCTCTAGTGTAAGGAAATTCATGTCAATTRATGTTAGAGACTATTTATCTTAAACGACACTAAAAGCTTTCAAAATATAACAAGCATCTGAATACGAACTATTTCTGTTGTACAGGCGGATTTTTAAATAGAAATTACGTTGGTGCAAAGTTAATATTAAATATGATTGGTGAGTCAAAGCAGAAGCTCTAGGGGGTGGTTATGACTAGAAATTCCCCATTTCATGATATTTCGAAAAACACAGCGATAGTAATATATCATTTTATAAAGCAACAAAGCAGCGCTTACCCGAGATAATTTTTTATTTTCTGCAGCCCTAAAGCAATCCATTTAATTTTTTTTCCTAGGKAAACCAATCCTTCTTTCACGGGATCCCCGCGACGGAAAAGCATTCTGTAGTTGCTAATGGAGTTTATAAATTTCCAAGATCAAACTAAAAGGTGTTTTGAACAACATGSCCGACAAACAATTTATACTAAAAGTTGACTTAATTAAAATTAAAATATCAAACAGACTCATACTTTTTTACATCTTTATTCATGACTTTTATTTAGTTTTAAATAATATTATATAACCTTCAAGCCATAAAACGCATGCAGTAATCTATATGTACGCCTTTTTTCCGTTTTAAATCCTTTTCAAAGATGGTTGAATGTATTAAAGACCATATTTGACAAGGCTTCATATCGTCAGAACTGGATCAACCTGTAAAACAGGTTTGTGATCAATTCGTCATCAACACGGAATTTTATGAAAAGCTATACAGTGAAAATGCATGACAAGAACATTTATTAAAAATTTATTTAGACTGTGAATCTGAGGTTCAAGCGAAATATCGACATAAATAATATTTGTAATGACAAAACCTCTTCAAACCGAGCACCTGTTTGCATTGACAAAGGTGCTCGCTTCTGGAAGGTTCGTTTGATTTGAGAGGTAGATGGCTGGTTTCTATGAAAACCAATATATTGTCATTATGGTAACTGAAATAATTCATTCGGACTAGCAAACCAAATTCAAATCATTCAATAGATTTGATTGGCTGGCGTGTTGCTATGCACGTTTCCATCCAATTCGAATCTCCCGGAAGTGACGTTCGATGTACTTTGAGTAGTTTGAATTTCAAGGTGAAAATATCTTGACAAAAAAAAATGTTCCGTTTAAATAGAGATTTTGAATCAGAAGGAAACGCACTTAGCAACGCGCTGGCTGATAAATCCCATTTTTATAAAATTGCTCAAGTAATGTCAGCTCTATAATGCGTTACCATAGTGATCTAAGATCAGTTAATTTTGACAACCTAATACCAGTARTCTTGGCCGTCAGGTCTGCGTTCCCCGGTCATGGCCTGTCGGCAGCCAAACATCAGGTGCTGGACATCTTGCTGTAGTTCCATGGGTGTGGTTGGGGACGAGTATCGTTTGTACGGCTGCCCATTATGGTCAATGAGAAATTTCTCAAAGTTCCAACTGATGTCATTGTTACGCATTAGGTTCCAGAATAGATCTCTTGGTTCATCTGTGATGAAACCATCTGGTACGTCACAGCGACTCTGAAATGAACAATGAAGAATTGCTCTATKTTACTATGACGTCATATCTAAAGAAGGCTAGTTAATAAGGCTCATGGTTCATGGAGAAGTGGACAGAACGACAACAGAGCACTATGTAGACWCGCTTCGTTTTCACTATACGTCACAGCGGCCATCTTGGAGGAACTTTAACAAAGGATTTCTCATTGGTATCTATTGTTCATTCCTCCAACATGTCCGCCGGTCTTTTAGCTTTTGAATCTCATGTGAATGGTTGAAAAAACGACCACAATAGAAGCATGRTTAGTCATGTTAGTTGTATAGAAAAGAATAGCTGAAATCCTTCACTTTTATGAAAAAATGCAARCGACCTTAAATTTCACTTTACAAAGTTTGCGCTTGTSAATTAAGTTAGTCTGCGCGTTCCTGTCAATAAACTRCATGTTTTTGTGTKCGTAAAGGACTAAAGATTTTAGTTTAACTTAGATTTWTTRCTTCAAGATGAAATCCTGTCAAATTGATCCCSGATAAATAGCGGCAATTAATTAATAAAACATTTATCGATAAGTTACCTTCAAGAAGGTGTAAATCTCCGTCTCATTGATGCCATTCACATCCATTCTCTCCATCATTAAGAAGTTCGGTTCGTAACCRTGTCCTGGTCGAACATACTTCAGCCCGTGCAAGATTTCGTACTCGTTATCACCAGGCTCCTCGCGGCCAAATTGATGGCATGGAAAAGCGACAACCTCAAAATCGCAAGTCCCATTACTAAATCGCGTTTTTAATACATTCATTTCGAGGTAGTGTTGTGTGAATCGTCAGAAGGTTGCGACGTTCACGACCAAGACCACTTTGTTCTTGAAGTAGTTAAAATTCACTGTACTTCCATTAAGTCCAGTGGCTTTGAAATCGTGAAACGATTTTGGCATTAAATGTGGAGGCTTGCATTTACTTGAGGCCTTTTGGAAGTAGCCATGGCTCGGTGATATTAGCGCATAGAGGAAGAGGAGAAGAAACGAAGAGACGGGAGCGCTCAACGCTCCCATCTTCTACTCCGACTATGAAATAATGCAATGAAAGCAGGTTGCTCAGTTGATCGATTGTTCTTGGCATGTTTCACCGCACGAATGGACAATAATCAGGTGAAACAATCGAGAGCTSGCGCCTGATTTGYCCAATCAAATGACCCGTGTCGAGACTAACTATACAGYCCCTGTAGAGGATGGRAGWAATGTCAGTGTCTTATGATTGRCATTTGAATGTTCGAGGAAGTAAAATTGACACTTTGCTTGTATTCAATTCCAGTTGATCATATAATATATAAAATAATGTATCTACACCTACTTGCAGAAACGTTGTCATAGAAAATAGAACATTCGAATTTAGTAAATARGAATAAATAAAAACAAGACAAAAGAGGGCGTTCAGCCTCAGTGATCTTTTTTTGTCTTTTTAATTTATTCCTTTTTACTAAAATAGAAATGTCCTATTTTTTTATGACAACGTTTTCGCAAGTAGGTGTATTTACGCTGTCAAAGAGTCGCTATTTGAAATGGGTGCTAAAGGTTCACCAATTCAACTTTGATTCCAATGTTTTCTTTTGCTTACCATTACACCTTGATATCATTAGATTTTACTATTGTATCAATTATAATTAAACCTTAGTAGTCTCTAATCTATTGTTTTCTTTTGTGAGTATTGCACTAGTACACATTGACTATTAGATAGAGTGAAGTCATTAGAGTCATTTTCATCCGTCTGTAAAACAAGAATTGTACTATTAAATACTATTACCCCCTATTAGCTCCCAATAGTTAAACTTATGACACGCCACAATCATAGGCAAATAAAACACGGTTTTGGCAGCCTACTACACCCTAATAGTTACTATTAAACACTGACTAGTAGTAATTGTTTCACAGACGGATGAAAATGACTCTAAAACCCGTGAAACAAAACTTGACTATTAAAGTGTGRTAGTCAAATCGAGACAAAAGAAAACAATGCAATTAGTGTAATTTTCTGACCTCACTCTAAGGTTATTTGATTTAATTAACCCTTTTATCTCATTGTAATTATTGTGCTTATCTTTTAGTGTTTTTTTTTTTTGACATACAGTCGCTAATTTTCGTTGCTTTCTTTTTCTATGGCAGTATTCAAACTTGGGATTTTAGCAATTCACGGAATTGAATATGTAAATTCAAAGACACTTTCGAAACGTTGCATCTCACATGTACCGAAGTCAAAGCACATGCGACGCTAAACATAAAAGTAGATTTAAACATATAAAATTCAGAGTTTRAAACGGGAATTACAGCTCTAATTGGTATTTACATAATAACAAAATTTAACTCGAGTTTTAGTGCGCGTTTACACAATAGCAGGTAAAGTCAATTAAAACGTGACGCAGCGACCCTGAAACGCCTCAAGACAGGTAGCTGATTGAGCGTGTTAGCGATGGTAATTAAAAGAAAATGTGAAAAAAAATCTCAAATAAGGTTTAAAACTAAAAGAGAGAAAAGGAATTTGCGTCTGAATTCATAGATTAACAAAAATATATAGACAATTTTTGTGTGTGTTTTTTTTAATGTTTATGAATATATCTTATCGGCCCGGCAAAATGTTCGAGAAAACGACTAAAATATTTTAATTTACATTGTACGAGGTATTTGGGATTATGTAACATGTAGATTATATTACATGTAATGTGCCCGCTTTTTAAGAAATGACAGTTYGAATGAATTTTTTGAAAAGCACGTTGGTTGACATTGCGATCGATCGACTTTACGAGGTGACGCTATTATACTAGAATCTACCGTAATAAGTCGACCGCCCGTTAGACTAAGGGTCCACACGCTGCTAGTCCAAAGCATCCATTTTTCTTTGAAATGCTCTTTTTTCTTTCTCAATGTTGATTGGTTCGCGATCAATTGTTGAGCCCACAGTCTCTGCCAGCTTGGACAGTTCGTCCCTAGTAAATCCATGCGMTTTTGCTTCTTTCTCGTYTGTGARGGTATCGYTCGTTGAATCTAACACCTCAATCATGGGTTTGCTTGTGGTTTTGACTTCGTGGAGTTTGCTGATTTCTTGGATAAGAGGCTGGATATCAAGCCATAGCACGTTAATTATAACAATTAATCATAAATAAATACTAATATTTATCAAATAATAATGATTATTGATGATAACGCGAGGTAGTTTCTCGAGAGATTTTACCTTATTTTGAGAAACGTTGGTTTTGAAGTTATGTACGAACAATGGGTCAGTTATGTCTACTTCCTCTAGATTGGGAAGGCTCTATAGAAAAAAAAAACAGTCTTTTTAGTCCTATGAAAAATGCGACGACAAGAGGTCCCATAATGCACCGTTGTACAAAATGGCGTCGATGTTTAAGTCAGAAATCATGTGACTGTACCTCATCATCATCGTCATCAACTTTGGATGATTTTTCATCTGTACTTAATTTTATTGTCTCGATTTCGTCATCTGAAAAATAACACAAGTTAATTACTAGGATTAAAATGGGAAAAGTTTATSATATAACATGCACTGGTATACCATTTATTTCTGTAATTAGAACTCTATCCGATGAAGTTTCTCTTGGCTGTTCTGCAACAGAAATGATAGCAAACATACGATGAGGATAACTTTAGGGTTTAAAATTTAGCTATTTCCATAATGCCCATAGAGTCCGCAATAACAGTTACTTTCGGTCATTTCTTTGTATTTGTTCGTCAAGGATTCAGTATTCCGTATTCGTAATATCATGGTGTCCGTTATAGTGGGGCGTCCGTAAGGCGAGAGTTGACCGTACATTGATTTTCATCAATGATTTTCATACAGAAATCATTTCATTGATTTGCTCAAAACCAATTCACTCACGGTCAATTCGCCCATAGATCAAATTGCAGATTATACGACAAATAGCAAACTTGTAGCACATATCTTGATAAACAGTTAACTTTCGCGTTACGGACACCCCGCTATAACGGACACCTCGAAATTACGGACACGAAATACTGAATCCCCGCAGAAAAATACAAAGAAATGACTGAAAGTGACCGATGGTATCCGAAATAGCGAGAGTTGACTGTTAARTAGATAATCAATATACCTGTTAGCATATCTGTGAGCAGCGATCCATGCGATTGTATTTGTCTTTTTGATTGACTACCAAAAATACTTGAACTAGTATCTCTGGGACGTACAGTTATGGTTTCTAGTTCTTCTACTGGTTGATCCAGGCTCCCTGTGTCTTGTTGGGCAAGTTTATCGACAGACTGGTGACTAAACTCATCGTTTACCTCTTGTTCTTCTATCTCTTCCTCTGAGTTGTCACTTAAAGCATCCTATCGTAGATTTTAGAACTCAGGCCTCATCCAAATAACATTTTAAATATTTGTTTGCGCGCGGTTTCCGGCGTGTTGCATGTCCTCTATTGACACACTCTTGAATGCTCAAAACTCAAGCGAACCTACGAGCGCAGCGTAAAAAATGTTTTTGCAATTTTTAACTTTTAGAGGACTGCGCGCGCGAAAGCTTATGGTCTCAGCACAGTGTTCCCATATGTACGCCCGATCAACGATTTCTTTGGGGAAAAAAGGGTGTCTTATAAATGAGAAGATATGGTTTACCTCGCTGACTTGTTGGTTTTCATTTGTTTCCTGTTTCTCTTTTTTGCGTTTCTCAGCTTCATCTCGTATCTTGCCAAGGTCTGAAAAGATTACAATTAGCCTGCTTATATCCGTTCCAAACCCCCTCCCCCCCGGGGGAAATTCTGGGAATTTCTCTGTAGGGGGAAGGGGTGGGAACGGATGTTCACAGGATAGATTAGAATCTACTTAGGTTATCKTAACACACATATAATAGTTGAATAATTGATTGATTTACGTACAGTCAATACTATCCATTATTCTCTGATGCTCTCTGTTGAGCCATCTTTCTCTTTCGGCACGTTCAGCCTCAACTCCACCTACAACCCTGTAGAAAGAAAGAAATMATAYAAMTWTGGATCACCCACACATACARATWTTAAAAATAGGCAAATATTTACCGATTTCGAGTTCTGSTTTGCTCTGTGTTAGCCTCAAAACCAGGAAACRTACCGGTATTCTTTTGTTTCATTGATAGCTCGAGAAAACGCATGGAATTTGAAAAGAAAGACAATGGAATTGATTTGAAATCTCACACTTTTATTCTCACAATTAGTAATGTTTTGCGCACAAATGAGGCTAACACAGAGCATTGGAGAATTCGAAACTGGATTATTCTACATATATTGCAAAAGSTATAGCTTGTGCATGCAATTTTTCCCAACTGCAGATTTTTCTCCACAGTGGTGGGAAATGGGGGAGGGGGGGGGGGGGGGGGGGGAATGAAAAATGATAGTTTACAAAGGGATCCCATGTAATTGCGAATCTCACTTATCTCACACAAAGAAATCAAGTGTTGGTTCCAAGACAAGTGTGGTATTATCATAGTATTGTTTGTAAGCTTGTTATTCATGTTGACATTACCATGCCTCYGCACAAGCTCTTTCTCTTGGAAATACAGGTCTATCGTCTAGATATCTGAGATTTTTCTACAATAAAATATATCAAAAATATCACAATTTATTGCACAGTGATGAACAATGGATTCAATTTTACTTGCTTACAATTTTGATGATCATATTCTTGCGGTAATTCTTTATCTTCTTGATGACTGGATTGCCCATTAAGTTTAGAACATGCTGAACAATGTGAAAATCAAACAAACTCAAAACTCCAATAAAATGTAATGATTTTACACTGAATTAGAAACTGGAAATAGATAAAATGGATATACCACTCCTTAAATACTCACAAGATTTGGCATTTCAGCTAGAACATCTATTATATCAGGGTCATCTATCTTATTTTCAGATAAATCCAATACACTGTAGAATATAAAATCAAAAAGTTGAGTTATACTGTTGGCATTACTACCTATTCTTYGTTTGCAGGTTACGTCACAGCGGCCATCTTGGAGGAACTTTAACAAAGGATTTCTYATTAGTATCTATTGTTCATTGGTCTTTTATCTTTTGAATCTCATGGGAATGGTTGAAAACGATCAATAGGCTAACTTATCAAATTCATTGATAATTCATAGCTAAAGGTAAATGAATGGGAAAGTCGCTGCCGTGGCTGCATTATATTTTATATGCCTCTCCTATAATATCATTCCATAACACAATAAACAACGATATTGTACCTTAAATGCTGACAATGAACAAGTTCCCTTASGTCTTCTGAGGTTTTTAGCTTGTTGTGAGCCATTTGAAGTGTGTTGAGCTTTGGTAAAACACCTAATGAAATTATATCACATCTATTATAGTATAAGAAAATATTAAAAGCAACAATTTTCCACCTTAGAAGCTTAGTATAAACCTGTTGAGCTTTGGTTAAACTTCATAGAAATCATATCATGCCTGTCATTAGTGTCYAGAAAATTTTAAAAGCACCAATTTTTCACCTTAGAAACTTAATATAAACCTGTAAGTTTTACTATTTTTGTACTCACCAATGTTTTCGATCTTTTGAATWAGATTATTGCTGACATTTAAAGTATCCAACAGCTGTAATTTCTCAAGATTTTCAATCTTTTTAAGTAGATTCTGCTGAAGGTACCTGGGGACACGGCACAATTTATACCATCATACAGTATTCTAACATTACATTCAATTAGAGCGGATTTCGTATGAGTGGGAAACGGACGGTACTGTACTGTGACTGTAATCGTACTGTAGCCAAATTCTAGTGCCCGCCATTGTTTCACAAGAATTGTGCAAGCCAGGTCCGGTAACTGTGCTGTAACCGTGCGGTTATTTCTACCGTACGTTTAACCTGAGTATCAGGCCTTCGAGGAAGCCAGGGGAGGAGAGGGAAAAAAAAGAAGAACCTCTCCCTTTTTCCTTCTCCTTCCGTCCCCCCTGATACTCAGGTTACTGTCCCCCCCTGATACTCAGGTTACTGTCCCCCCTGATACTCA